TTTTTTTTTTTTTTGCTTTATTTTCAAAGCCATATTGTTCGGTGCATATAAGTAGAATATATGAGTAGAAGGAGGGTTCATGATTTTTATACCTTCTTGGTGAATTGCTCCTTTTATCATAAGACAATCATCTTTTTCTCCTTTATACTTTGTTGCTTTGAATTCCATTTTATTCCGTATTCAATTCCTATACCTGTTCTCTTTATGTGCATTTTCCGTGACTCTTCTTTGACCCCAGTCTTGGAGCCACATAAGTTGGAAAAAAAAAAAATGTACATCTCAGTCTCAGCTCAGCAATCACTTGCTCTCTGATCTGGGGCAGGTCCTTTTGCCTGTTTGGGTCTTATTTCCCTTATCCGTTAAATGGGGCTATGACTCACTTTGTTTCTCTCATCTCCAGTTCCTGTGAAAATAGCTAGAATCTTGGATATGAGACGTGCTGCCGACATCCCTGTGCACGGGTTAGTCACTGGGTGTGAATATGGGCCGGTGTTCTAGGCAGTGAGGAGGGCAGGAGTGGAGGAGGACCTGGAGGGGGGGGGACCGCACCCAGAGGGTGAAGGTCGACTTCACTGCGGCCGCCCCTGGATGGCTGCCTCCTCTGTTCACACAGACGCATGAGCAAGGCACAGTCTCTGGCCTGGAGGAACTTCCAGTCTGGAAAAGGAGAGGAAAGAAGGCCCAGCTCACTACTCCTGAGACTGGCAAGGATGTTGGGATAGAGGGACAGCTGGGGGAAGGACTGAGGAAAGAGCAGGGTTTGAGCAGCAGGGTCCCACGGGGGGTGGCATAGGAGGTGGGCACTGAGAGGGGACACTGTGGCACATTTGGGGACAGGTGGAGCAGGGCTGGGAAAGCACATGGTTGGCAGGGCAGCGTCCTCCCCTATGAAGGAGGAAGGCAGGGGTTTGCAGAATTTTGAGGATCCTCCCTTGCCCCTGGGATGCTGCTCAGCCACAAAGAGCAGGTGATGGGCGGGGCGGGAGGTCTCCAGCCCCACTCCTCATCGCCATGACAGCCACATCCCGTGATGAGCAAGAGGTAATAGGGACAGAGGGCAGGGGACGTTTGAAAAGGCAACCTGTTGCCTTTAGGGATGCCGGTGCGCAGGGAAGCTGCAGGGTCCCACCTGTTGCTGCTTGTGTGGCTTGTTGGTGGCATCTCGGGACACCCACCCACCCTGGAGGACGTCAGCTGGTGGTGGGAAGCCAAAGAGGGACCACAAATGTGTGGTGTGGGTTTTGAAACTGGGACTGTTGTCCAAATTTTAAAGATCAGGAAAATAGGCATAGAAATCTGGATTTCTAGCTTCTTTTTTGAAACCGCGAGAGACCTAGAAATGCCCAGGCCTTCGCGGATGTGGCAGAGTGGCGGCTGCCCATCAGGACTGGCCCGGGACCCACTGTGCTGTCATGTGTCATGTCATATGGGTCTGTCATTGTCATGTGTCTGAGTTCCCTTAGATCCTTGAGTCGCCTCTGGGTGGGGGGTGGTGGTGGCTGTGAGCAGCAAGAGCAGAGGCAGGTGAGTAGAGGGTCGGTGGCCCCAGGAAAGGCTGAGGGGGGCCAGAAGTGCTGTCCAGAGCGGACTGCAGGTTCTCTGGGGGCCCTGGGGGCCCTGAGCCTGGAGGGCACGGCCTCTCTCCTCCTTTTTCCCTTTCCCCCTTAGTGCGGCTTAAGTGCAGACGGGCACACAGCTTCGTGACTTTTCCTGATGTGTGCACATGGGTGTAGAACGCCACCTAGAAACAGCTTGACCAGCGCCCCAGAAGCTTCCCTCCTGCCCACCCCCCTACTTCTTCCCCCGTGCCCGCCAGGGACACTTCCCTCGCTTCTGAGCCCAAGATCAGTTTGTCTCCTTTGGAACTTCTTGTGAATGACTCTGTTTTGCCCTTTGGAGCCCAGCTTCCTCTTCCTTCCTTCCGTGTGCCCCTGTGAGACCTGACGTGGCTGTCATGGGCACTGTCGTGTCCTCAGGGTCTCAGAGCCTTCACTTGGTGCTTGGAGATGAGCTTTTGCCTCCTGCTTCATCCCCGCTGTCCCAGTGCCTCTTCCACCCCGCCATGGTCTTTTCCTCTCCTTGCAACCACCTGCGAGGCAAGTGGTTCTGCCCTCACTTCACAGATGAGGAGACGGAGGCCCTGAGAGGACCCCCAGCTACCAAGGCCTGTCAGATGGTCAGGGCAGGGCCTGCGTGCTCAGGCCCAGAGTTAGGCCTCTGTGTCTCGGACGCTCCAGGGTCCCTGCCCACGTGAGTGGCCCCACCCGTCCATGTGTCCCTGACCATGCCAGGAATAATACGGGGTGGGGGGCTGCAGACAACGGGAAGAGCTCCGGGGAGAGACCTCTCCCCCACAGTGCCCGTCTGCAGACAAGTGAACTGGGAGCTCTTCCCTGTGCGGACCTGGTTTGCCTGGCTTTGGGTTGGCCCAGGGGGCAAAGTCCTGGTCACTGTTGGGAGACAATTTCACGGATGAGGGCTGGGCCAATAGGGCCAGAAACCATTTCTAGCCCAGTCGCTTCCCGCCTTGTCACCTTGGATGATTTCGGAATGCCGCTGTGCCTCAGTTTCCCTCCCTGCAGGGAGAGTGTTGGACCACATCTTCTACATGGGGCTTGCCAGGAGGGACAGACAGATGTGCACAGAAGGAGCAAGCTTGTGGCTGCTTCCTCCGTGCCAGGCTCTGGACCACAGACTCCAGAGCCAGAAGGTCTGGGTTCAAATCCGGGCCCATCGCTTACTAGCAGTACATCCTTGGGCTGGTTCCTGAACCTCTGGGCATCAGTTTCCCTGCGTCTGCGTGGGGATGATACTGCACCTGCCGTATTCTTCGGGTTGAAGTCAGGGTTAAGCAAGTTGGTGAAGTTTAAGTGCGGGGCAGAGTCTGGTGTGACTGAGAATGAGGCGGGTCAGTCTGGGAGGTGGGGGTCGAAGCCACGGGCAGAAGGGCCCAGGGTATTGTCTCTAACGGCTGGAGGAACTGGGGACGCGCAGGGGCATTCATGGTGCCTTCGACGGACCTCAGGAAGCAGGCCCGCTGGGAGCCACGGCTGTCACCAAGACAACCAAAATCTAATCAGTGTCCTGAGGCCGGGACCGTAATCATGGTAATGCCCCGATTACCAGCTCTCTGCAGTTAGTTTCCCCGGGTGGCCAGGTTCAGGGCCTGCATTAAGGAATCTAAGGAGATTCTGAGCCAGAATTGGTCAGTGTTTATCCGGCTGTGAGAGACGGATAATTCCAGCTTTGGGGGGAGGGGGGCTGTGTCCCGGTCTTCATCAGGGATGGCTGCATTCAGCAAATACCCCTGGCCCCTCCACTGTGTGCTGAGCACATACTAGGTTCTAGGGCCCCAGCAGCGAACAGGGTGGTGGAAACAGCCTCTGGCCTTGTGGATGCTGGTGTCCCAGGGGGCCCTTGGACAATGCACAGGACACGTGTGCATGTCGTAAGCCACAAGGACTAAGTGCTGAGCAGAGAAATGGGCTTGCAAGTGACGGGGATCAGCTGCTGCTCATGACCACGTGGTGTCTGGATGCGTGAGTCCCTCAGGCTCCGCCTTCTCCCTGGGGCCTCTGGGGACCTTCTGAGGATGGGCATGGCTTCCAGGCTCCTCGTGGGGCCTCCCGCCTCTGCAGGGTTCTCATTGGCAGCTAGGACTCAGTGTAGGTACAGCCAACATGACTGTCCACGCTGCCATAAAGTGGCCAGCCTGTCCCCAAGACGGTGGTCCTCAGCCCCCTCCTGGCTCTCT